GCTCCAGATTCACCAGGCGTTCCACAAGCAGTCGATCCAGATTCACCAGGCGTTCCACAAGCAGTCGATCCAGATTCACCAGGCGTTCCACAAGCAGTCGCTCCAGATTCACCAGGCGTTCCACAAGCAGTCGATCCAGATTCACCAGGCGTTCCACAAGCAGTTGGTCCACAAAGGGATCAGGAGGAGGACTGGTTTGAAATGGAAGATGAGGAGGAGGGAGATGAAGCGAACGACCTGGTCGAGGGTGAAGAAGCAAGCGAAAAGGAATGGAAAAAACTCGTTGGTGACCTGAAGAAGCCCCATGAGTTCCAGATCCTGAGGTTTGCTATCCCGCTGGAGAAACATCGCGGAAAAGAAGTGTTGGAGGCGGTACAAGACATCTATGTCACTTTGAAGTCATGGGGGATGCCGCTTGCCAGAATCCATTCGGATAGAGCCAAGGAGTTCAGAACGCAACCTTTGCGCCGTTGGTGTCGAGAGAGAGACATCTTCCAGACATTCACGGAGGGGTGTGCGCCGTCTCAGAACTCTGTGGTGGAAGGAGGCGTGAAGTGGTTGAAGTCAAAGGCTAGATTGTTGCTTGGGGCGGCCGGTATCGAGAAGAAGTTCTGGCCGTGCGCAATGAAGGAAGCCTGCGACGCTCACAACCGCAGGATGTTGGCGAGGCCTATGAGAAAGATCCGTTTTGGGTCGGTGGTGTGGATCAAGTCGAAGAAGACCCATGGCCCATTTGACCCAAGGTGGGAAAAAGGAACGTACCTAGGCCCGACCGAAGATGTGCGTGAAGGACATGTGGTGTTGTTGGAAAATGGAACGTGGCTTCGGACACTACATGTAAGGCTTGTTCGAGATGATGAGTACGAAGAGGTTGCCCCGGAGTATGCCGTGGATTGGGTGGAGCCTTCGAGAAGAGTGAGGGGAAAGATGACCTTGAGTGACCCAGAAGTGAGAAAGCTGAAGGGCTACCAGGACATGTCGAGGGAGCAGCTGGTGAAGAGGCTTTTGGGGTCAGATATTTGGACCAGCAAAGAAGCTGTGGCCAAGCGACCACAGCTACGCGAAACTTCGGAGGCTGACGAGGATGTGGCGTATGTGACGCTTGGGGCTTACCAACATGGAGGAATCGTAAACGTGACCAACGCCACTATGAAGTATGAGGAGGACGTTCGAACTGCCGCTGCGTTGCTTCGACATGATTTTCCCGGAGAGACCTTCACTTCGATGGCCCTGGTGAAGAATGCCGTGATGCCTATCCACCGGGACAGCTACAACATGAAGGGAACAAGCAACTTGGTATCGCCGCTGAATGTGACGAAGGGCAGCGGTGTGTGGCAGGAAATGAAGGTCGGAGATGAGTTCAAGGGGAAGTATGAGGCGCGGCGATTCAATGGGAAGGAGGTGCCGGGCCAGATCTTCGAGATGAAGGGGCCAATGGAAGTAAATCCTTCACGTCTACATGAGCCAGTACTTGGAGAAAAGGGTCCCAGAATACTGGTTGTGGGCTTTACAATCGCCGCCGCGTGCAAGCTGGAGCCAGAGAAGGTTGACTACCTGCGAAGACTTGGTTGTTGGCCTTTAGAGCAGCTCGCCAAGGACGAGACCATCGATTGTCGACCTCATGCAATGGGAGACCAAGAGCTTGGTGGAACCAGGGAGGATGAGTTGGTGATCCCGGGAGGGCGAGTCAGCTTGAGAACGAATTGGTCGTTGCGATACCAGCCAGAAGAAGACAAGGGCAAGGAGAAGGTCGAGGAACCAGTACCAACGCTGCCTTTGGGGAAAGAAGAGAGATTGTGGCTGGAAGAAAGGGCAATGGCGCTAAGGGCGTTGATCGTTGAAGAGGCAAAATGTGCTGATCAGCGAGAAGATGAAGGTGAAGAAGTGGACGAGATGATGAATGAGAAGGTCATGGATGCAGAAGAGGAATTGGACTTCGTGCAAGAGATCCTGACGGAGGACGTGGGTGAGAAGAATGAGCGGTCGGTAAAGGCGATCAACGACGTGAAGGTTCGTTTAGCAAAAATGGCAACAGATGTCACCACGGAGAACGTGGAGGGGATCTTGAAGGAATTGAAGGAGCCGCTCACTGTGACACACACGGTCGCCCTTCCCGAGGTTAAGGCGAATTTGCCCAAGTGGGTGCCAAGCATCATGAAAGAGGTCACGCACCTGGAAGGAAATGGGACGTTGGTTCCGATTCCCCTCCCAGAAGCAAAGCGAATGCAAGATCGGGGAGAAATTACGCTGGTGCCGGCCAAGACGGTGCATACGGTCAAGCCTCCGGATGTGGCAGCGATCGCAGACCAGGCGGAGCAAGAGAGGGAGCACGTAACCCAGAAGAAGGGGGAAGAGGTCCTTGAGGGCAACGGAGACGCCGGATTGTTCAAAAGGAAGTCGAGGCTGGTGATCTGCGGGAACTACATCAAGGGCGAGACGGAGGTGTTCACGACGGCCGCCAGTGCGGAAAGCTTGAGGTGCGGATTAGCATTCGCTGCACAAAGAAACTGGGGGGCAGCAATCACAGACATCGCATCGGCGTTCACTCTAACCCCAATGTCGGAGTCCAGCGTGCGGTACGCCATAACGATCCCGAAGGTGATTGTGGATGCAGGGTGCGCCCCACCGAACACCGCATATCTGGTCGAGAGGCTCCTCTATGGCTTGAAGGAGGCGCCGAGACTATGGGGCAACTTTCGTGATCGCCGGATAAGAAGGGCCAGAATCCATGTGGGACAAAGAGAATGCAGGTTCGTCCAGATGGAAACGGATCCGGCGGTTTGGAGATTGGTTCCCATGGATGACGAGACAGAGACCATTGCGATGATGATCGTGTACGTCGACGATGTGATGTTCCTGGGCGGGAATGAGGAGATCATGAAGATGTACTCCTGGTTGACAAAGGGTGATGATGGAGAAGAAGGATGGAAGTGCTCAGACCTGGAGTGGGTGGGTCAGAGGCCAGTGAGATACCTCGGTATGGAGGTGCAAGGCCGAGTTCGCGATGGAAGGATCCAGTACCACATCAGCCAGGGTGGGTACATCGCCGACCTGATCCGGGAGTACGGCATGGAAACCGAAAAGACCGCGCAGGTGCCCGCAACAAAGGACCTCATCCTGCACGAAGAAGAGGGCGATCAGGAGGAGGGAGAAGCAGATGAGGAGCAAATTCGGGCGGCTCAAACAGCTGCCGGAGAGTTGTTGTGGTTGGCCACTCGAACAAGACCGGACATAAGCTTTGCCACGAGCTATGTCTGTGCAATGGCGACGCGGAACCCGACGGCTGCTCTTCGTTTGGCTCATCACGTGCGTCGCTACCTCCTCAACACGCCTGGAATGGGTTTGGTCTACAAAGGGTCGCAGCATGCGGTGGAGACTTTCTCTGACGCCAGCTTCGCGCCAGGAGGAGGAAAATCCTTCGGCTGCAGCGCTATATCGCTATTTGGGGGCTTTGTGGCATGGCGAATGACAAGGCAAGCTCTGATAACGCTGTCTACCGCGGAGGCGGAGTTGTACGAGTTGATCGCCGCGCATCAGCTTGGATTGGGTATCCAAGCATGGGCCACCGAGGTGCAGAGCGATGTATGCCAGGCCATAAAGGTCGATAACACTGCAGCTCTGGGGCTTGCAAGCACGGCCCCGGGGACGTGGAAAACACGTCACCTCCGCGTGAGAGCACGTTTCCTTCGCCAAGAAGTGTTGGCCCAGCGCGTGTCCTTACATCATGAGCCTGGAGAAGGACAGCCAGCAGACTTAGGTACCAAGCCGGTGCCGGCTCCTCGGTTGGTTGTGCTCCGTGATTTGTGGGGTATGGTACCTGCAGAGGCTTTCCTACAAGAAGGAGGCAATGAAGGGGCGCGAGTACAAACAATCTCGTCAAGACAAGAGGTGGTGAAGATCATGGCGCTGATGATTGCGATGATGTCAGTGCAAGGGGCACGGGCCGAAGAAGTGCTCAAGAGGCCAGTGGAGGTGGATGGAAGCGTGGAATTCTACGTATGCGTGGTCATCGGAGGAGTGGCGTTGCTCGGAGTGTGGGAGTTTGTGAAGGTGCTGGTTGCGTGGGTGTGGAGAGATCGAGAAGAAATGGCGATGAGAAGAACAAGAAGGCTGATGAAAATCAGAGATCAGGCCGTTCGTGCTCTACATCGTGAACTGGCAGAGCTGGAAGATGAAGGAGAGCAAAGGGATCCGCCTGGTGTCAGGGCTCAAGATCCAACAGCTGAGGTGCACCCCGCTTCTTCGTCTTCTACAACCCCGATGCCACAACAGCCCGATGGAGAAGAGGGCGTGACGGTGGCCCGAGCCGCGAGGGAAGGAATGGACTTCAGATGCCTCCAGACCCCATTCGTGATGTCGGAGCATGGGGACAGGATCCACGTTCGAGAAGAGTGCTATGGGCTGAGGCACGCGAACAAGGCCAAGTTGCGCAAGATCAAGTACTGTTCGTGCTGTGCTGAGAGCTACCCTTTGTACTATAGGACTCCCTTCGGCGACCCAAGGCTTGGGTAAGTACAGGACGCATCAAGGAGGACATTTTGTCTTCGACTCCAAAATGAGGAGGAGTGCAGATGCGTCAAGTTGATTCACAAGAAGGCCATGTAAAGAACAAGGTCCGATTGCCCGCCGCTGTACACACCCAAGGGTTGGGCTACGTAAGGACCTTGAGCCAGTGTGAGGAAAAACATGTATTTCAAAAAAAAAACAATGGCATGGAGCCATTCAAAGCAGCACATTGTATAGGTTGTGCAGATATGTTACTCGCCTAGAAGGCCAAGTGGAGTGAAAAATCGATACGCCATGGAAGCCTCAGATGCTGACTTTGCACAAGCCCTGAGTTCCGAGTTTGGTCCCAATGCCCAGCACTAAACCCTAAACCCTAAACCCTAAACCCTAAACCCTAAACCCTAAACCCTAAACCCTAAACCCTAAACCCTAAACCCTAAACCCTAAACCCTAAACCTAAACCCTAAACCCCAAAAAACACCCTAAACCCTTAGGTGCCATGAGTGCCTGCGAAGAGCTGGGCCGCTGGCAAACCGCGCTTCACCTCTGGGAGCTCATGGAGGTAGGGTTTAGGGTCTAGGGTTTAGGCTTTAGGCTTGAGGCTTTAGGCTTTAGGGTTTAGGGTTTCGGGTTTAGGGTTTAGGGTTTAGGGATTAGGGTCCAGGGTCTAGGGTTTAGGGTTTAGGATTTCGGGTTTTCTGGCTTAGGGTTGAGGGTTTAGGGTTCAGGGTTTAGGATTTAGGGTTTAGGACTCAGGGTTTAGGGTTTTTGGATTTACAGTTTAGGGTTTAGGGTTTCGGGGGGGCGTTCGGCTTTAGGGTTGTATGGGGGTTGGGACACCCCAAACCTCAGACCCCAACACCCTAAACCCGAACTTCTCCGAGCAGGCAGATGGGGTCACGCCGAACGTAGTGACGCTCAACACGGCCATCAGCACCTGCAGCAAGGTCGGCTATTGCTTGGCTTTGGGAGGGGTGTTCCTCTCGATCCCGAAGAAGCCGTAGACCCTAAATACCCTAGGCCCGAAACACATCTCCCCTCCCCTGGTTTCCGGATCTCAGGTCCATCCTCTTTTTTGGTCCAAATCGAAGGCGTTGCACTTCAACATGTCACTCCTTTGGGCAGACTTCTGATACTTCATACTGCGAGAGTGTTCGGAACCTATGTCCCTTCGTATGCCTTAAGTCGACCGAGATAGGAAGAACTAGTTTTTTCAGCTGCCTTGCAAGCTCGTACAGCAAGCACTCCTGCGGATTCTGATTTCGGGGTTCTCTAAGGGCTCCATCAACCCAAAACCGTAATTCCGAAGCCCTTAGGTTCGGGGAGCCTTGTGTTGCGGTACCGAAGAGGTAAGAGTATGAGCTTAGGCTTCAGGATCTGGAAAGGGGTTTAGGCTGTAGGGAGTTTTGCAAGGGTTTAGGTTGGGGACGTTCTTAGTCCAAACCCTGGAACTCTCCATTCATCTCGTCCTTCATCCAATATGAACTGGCCCTAAACCCTAGTCCCTAAGCCCTAAGTCCACAATCCGTACGACATGTGAGTCAGAAGGCCTCACGATGGCGGATGGCACTCTTTCTCTTCGGCAGTTTGCATGTGGCGCGTCTGCTGGCCGACGAAGTCACCTTCAACAGCGTGCCTCGGGGTTGGGATTCTTGGTCTTGGCTAGGGCCGATTATTAAGGGTTTAGGGTTCACCCAAAACCCTGAACTCTAAACCCCAGGCCCTAAACCCAAAACCCTAGGGCCCTAAACCACTATTCGCAGAGGATTTGGGGTTCTGAGCGCGTCTTGGGATGTTAGGGGTTCCAGGGGTGCCTGGGCTGCAGAGTCTTGTAGTTGCCAGCGGGACCTCCCGAAGCCTTCACGAAACCCTAAACCTTAAAGACCTGCATCCAAAAAACCCTAAATCCTAAGACTTAAACCCTACATCCTAAAGAACCAATCCGCGAGTTTTTCAAATTTTCCGACAGGTGCTCAGTGCTGCTGCGCGCTCAGTGCAGTGGCAGCTGGCCACAACGCTGCTGGTTGACATGAGGCTGGAAGTCACACCCCAAACCCCACGCCCTCAGCCGTTGAAGGGAAGTTGCCTTAAAGCCAAAAGCCTAGACTCCAAAAACTGTTCGGAATAATTGTAGATAGATGCCGATAGTATTCCCAGAAATCCCTTATATCACCCCCCCAAACCCTATTCGAGTTATTAAGGCCCCTACATCTAGGCATGGTAGCTTCTCCACAAGCGCACGCAGTCACCTTGACCCCATGCATCTTCAGGGTTCAGTGGTTTTAGGGTTTAGGGTTTAGGGTTTAGGGTTTAGGGTTTAGGGATTAGGGTTTAGGGGGCTTAGAGGTCGAGGATTTAGGGTTATGTTGTGAGGGAAGTCTCATGGTCCCTTAATATGGTCCCTGACTTTCTTTAAAGAGTTCTGAAGTATGGGCCCTTGGGTTTTATAGGGTATATAGGGTGTATATGGGGTCCCCAGTTAAGGGCCCACATGAAGAGACCATGTAGCTACCCTGAAAGGCTCAGGGGTTTAGTTTTGCAAGGATGGGTTTGCTATTGTTGTGTGTGTGGTGCCAGCGACAGTCGTTCAAGGCAGATGCGTCTGCCAGCAGATGCGTGTCTCGGCGGCAGCAGCAATCGGGATTTAGGGAGCAGGTTTGGGTTTGGGTTTCACTTTGAGGTTCATGGTACTTATAACTGTGCTTATAAACCACTCATAAGCCCTTTAAGTGCGTTAGGATTTGGGGGGTTGGGGCTGTAAAAGGGTAGAGAACCCGATTGGGACCCCAAACTCTTCCTTAACGATCCAACTTGAAGATTCAAGAAGGGACTTGCGAACTGGTTGTAGTAATTGGGGTTATCAGTTAAATCATTTCTGGCGGTCGCCTATATAAGCAAAGAGAATGATCAGGTAGGATTCTAACCTGGGTTCTAACCTCTTAGTAAGTCCCGCGAACCAAACCCTAAACTCAAAGCCCTAAACTAAACCCCAACAGAACTTAAACCCCAAGCCCTATACGCTGTCCCCAAACCTTCTAAATCCTAAAACCGCCTAAAACCCAACAAGCCCTAAACCATAAACCCTGTAAACACTAGGCCCAAGTAAAACTTTACCCCCCTAAAACCCTATAGCCCTAAACCCTAAACCCTAAACCCTATAAACCCTTTTCCCCTTTTGGCTGAAGGCTGGGTTTGCAAAGCGCCATTGGCGCTTGCGAAGGTGGAGGGCAGCGGCGGTTGCTGCCAAGGCTTGTGCTGAACTTGTTCAGGGTTGTTCAGGGTTGTTTAGGGTTGTTTAGAGTTGTTTAGGGTTGTTTAGAGTTGTTCAGGGTTGCTTAGGGTTGCTTAGGGTTGTTTAGGGTTGTTTAGGGTTGTTCAGGGTTGTTTAGGGTTGTTCAGGGTTGTTCAGGGTTGTTCAGGGTTGTTTAGGGTTGTTTAGGGTTGTTTAGGGTTGTTTAGGGTTGTTTAGGGTTGTTTAGGGTTGTTCAGGCCTGTTCAGGGCTGTTTTGGGCTGTTTAGGGTCTTGGGGTCGGAGGGTCTTAGGGTCGGAGGGTTTACGGTTCAGGGTCTTAGGGTCGGAGGGTTTACGTTTTAGGGTGATAGTCCTCAGCGGGCTGATACGGTTGAGGCCTTTTGCGGGTTAATGGGGCAGGATTTGAGTAGTTAGGGCTTGCAGTGCAGGGCTTTTGGGGCTGAGGGTTGTGGGGCGCATACTATACCTATGGTCGACATCATTCGTGTTCCAGGGCTTATCGGGTGTAAGGTTGGTTTGCGTTCGTGGATTGGCAAGCGAAGGTGTTTGCTTGAGCGGGCTTATAATGCATGTTCTGTTTTGCAGGCCCGTTTTTTGTTGAACAGAGATCCTTGCCCCAAGAATGTGCCCCCTCCCCCAATTTACACGCGCCCGAAGTTGAACAACACACGTGTTCTGACGACCTCCAGGCTTCTGGCTGAGCTGTGCAGTCAGTATTCGCAGCTGAGTTGACCCAGAGACTTCAAAGGAAGATTAGGGTTCAGGGTTTAGGGGTTGGGGGTTTAGGGCGCGGAATTTCGGGTTCCATGTTCCTTAAACGCTATGAGAGCCTGTACTGAAGAGGTTTGGAGCCTCTGGGATCCCCTTCATGGGTAGCTATTGGGGGTGGCTGCGGGGCAAAAGGCGCGTGGCTCGGTCTGTCATGCTTGGTGAGAGTCTTCGGCTTTGGGGTTTTAGGGTTTTGCGGTCTAGGGTTTAGGGTTCGGGGTTTGGGCTTGGGTGGCAGGCTTGAGGGTTTGGGTTCGTTTTTTTTTTCTCTTTTAAGGATTTTAAGTTTTGGGTCTAGAGTCTAGGGTTTAGGGTTCAGGGTTAGGGTTTTAGGGCTTCAGGTAGAATGATTCCACTTAGAAGTCTTTGGTTTTTTGTTTTCAGGGGGGTTTACAGGGTCGCCGTCTCCTTTTTTTGGGATTTCGGGCTTCAAGCTGGTTTAGGTAAACCTCCCTCAGCCCAAGACCCTAAACCCGAAACCCTGAACCCCTGAACTCAAGACCGTAAACCCAAGACCCTACACCTCAAAACAAACCTGGGCATCGCAAGGGTGCCTAACAAAGCCCTCCACGCGCCTCTGGCTCACAACCATATCGCCCTCGAGCACCCTGAATCCAGAACCCTAGCCCTAAACCCTAAACCCTAAACCCTAAACCCTAAACCCTAAACCCTAAACCCTAAACCCTAAACCCCAGAACAACTCTAGCTGCAGGCTTCTCCTGCTCAAGGGCCCGGCAGGATGCGGAAAGGCGGCGCTGCGGGGGTCAGGGTTTAGGGTTTAGGGTTTAGGGTTTAGGGTTTAGGGTTTAGGGTTTAGGGTTTAGGGTTTGGGGTTTGGGGTTTAGGGTTTAGGGTGATGCACAGGTTGATTCATGGGGTGTAGGGTTTGGGGTTTGGGCTTGCGGGTTGGTTAGGGTGCAGGTTCGGGTCTTCGGGTAAGTCTAGCGTGAATGGGGGCTTTCGTAAAATGTCAACCCCAAAACCCTAAACCCCAAACTTAAGGGTTCAAGGGTTTGGTGGAGTAGCACTCCCCGGGCCCTTGGCAGTATCTAGCTCTTAGAAAGGATCCTTATTTTTGGCGGGTTTAGGGTTTTGGGTTTAGGGTATCTAGGATGCCCAGTAGTGCCCTTATTCCCTTTTTTGGAAGCTCTAGGTTCCCCTCTAAACCCCTTTAAGCACCAAGGGCCACCCTTTTTAATCCTAGGTTACTGGGCAACCAAGGTATATGGTGTTTGTTGCCAAGAGTTGTCAAAACTTTGGTCCCTTTTTTGGATCCCTATTATAATACGGCACCAACTATTTAGGGTACCCCCAAAGGGATCATAATTTTGACAACCACCCATATGGTGTTTGTTGCTAAGAAAAGGGTGTTTCTTCTTGCCAGAGGCTGGACGGTCTCTGGAATGCAGCATCCTGTACTCACAACCCGCAACCTTCTGCCCCCTCAAGGAGCCCGGTGACCCAGAGACTCAACTGCCCCCCTCTTTTCAGGTTTAGGGTTTAGGGTTTAGGGTTTAGGGTTTAGGGTTTAGGGGTTAGGGGTTAGGGGTCAGGGGTTAGGGGTTTGGTGTTTGGGGTTTGGAATTTGGAATTTAGGGTTTAGGGTAGGTCTAAACCCTAAAACCCTTAGTCCTAAGCCCTAAACCCCGAACCCTGACTCCCAGACCTGAAAAACCCTCACGCACAAAATCCTAAGCCCTAAGCCCTAAAACCCTAAACCCTAAACCCTAAGCCCTAAAACCCTAAACCCTGAACCCTAAACCCTGAACCCTAAGCCCTAAACCCTAAACCCTAAACCCTAAACCCTAAACCCTAAACCCTGCCGTCCAGGCGTCAGTTCTGCGTGCGCTGTGCGCCGACCTGGGCCTGGAGCTGGCGCGGGGCCTCTTTTTGGTTGCGCCGGTTTGTTTCAGAATTGTTTGGGGG